TACTATTTTATGGATCTATGTTGATAAGTTTTGTATCACATTGTAGATTATAATTCAAATTTGAGTATTATACATTAGTTAATTTCTTAATTTAAAAGTAAATATAAAAAACACAGCTAAACATTGATTTTTATGTGTCACATGGTATGTTGAATGCAGCAAAATACAAAATATACAGTTTTGTATAAATTAGTAACTCAAACTACTAATATTGACAAGCTAGAATATAAAACAAGAATATCTTATCTTTTCTATTTCCTAAAATATCGCTCCTGTACTGAATCAAACACAGTGGGCTCTGCCCACCTCTTTCCATTTTTGGAAATGGTCCCTTATATACACTTCCTTCTATATATGACATGAATAACCAATCAAAGGCTCAGAATTCACCCCTAGAGGTTTTCTCAGCCATTTTGATGTGTTATTGTGCTAATTTTATTCTTTTCACACAAGATTTCAAACGATGAGGTAAGTCTTTAGTGAGCTCGAAATTTCATAGTTTTCTAGACCCAATTACAGCTTAGTTACTAAGCTTGATAAATTATAGTGGAGTTCTATGGTATCAATATAGTAATTTATGATTTTTTGGTTATTCAACTGTATGTATAAAACCTAAAAAATTATTTTGTTTCATATCTTTCAATTGGGAAATTTCATAAGGCTAAGCAACCTACGATAAGCATCAAACAAGTATAAATGTCGTAACTAGAAGAGATAATTGTTTGCTTTACTTTAATCACTGTTCTATGTTTTAAGAAAATTAAGTTTAAGAGAATATCTGTAAATAGAAATAATGTATATATATATTATGTATAATAGTTAAAATGTGACTGTATTATACAAAATACCAGTCCACTAAAACACAGCCAAGACAGGTCACTTTGTAAAGACTAAAGGTCAGTTATATATTATTGGATACCGTAACACGAGTACACTTGTGCAGTGTCATTGTAATTTTTGTATTGTTAGCCAGGCACAGTTGGAAGGTCAATATAATAAAAATAATAAATATATATAAATGTATAACATTATGAGATTTAAACTAATTAGAATAAAAATTTGTGTTTTCTTGTTATAATCTGTAGTCATTCGAAAACAAAAAAAACCCATAATTTATATTTTTTTCCTAATTTTTTATTGAGGTTACGAAGTTGGTCATATTGAACCAACCCGTACAGAAATACACTAGTGAAAATAACAAATAAAATAGTTTTTTAAACAAAAAAAATTTGATAATTATCTGGAAATTATAAAGATTTCGCATGTGAAATTTGAAAATGTTCTAATACATTAAAGTATTTTTTAATCTTAAAATCAAAATTGCTTTGCATGTTGGATAGTCAACATTCGGAAAGAAAAAGGTTTATGAAAAAATCTTTAATTATAAAAATCTTAATATTTAATTGAAAAACCTGATAATCTGTGTACAAAAACCTAGTAATTACCAATAACCTGCAAAACTTTGTAAAAGATGTGCTTACATTATGAAAAAACATAGCATAATCACTCTCATGGTTACGAGCCGGGTGGATTCCACCCAGCCCGTAATGGAAGGGTTAATAATAAATGTTTTCTTGCATGCTCCCCTCTATAATTTTAAATGAGTGAAAGTGTGAGTTAAGTGATGAGATGTAATACATGGATACACATCAAAACTGTAGTAACTACTTATTATTTTCATTTATAAAACATATATATTAAAATTGTTAATTGTACATTATTGCACTACTGACTCTCATAATTGCTTGTGCCCCATACTTTGGAAAACACTGCTGTACACTTATAGCTGTGCCCATTTCCAGTAAAAAACAAATCAACATGACATGTTTCAATAAGAATTTAGAGCTATCCTCTTGTATGGTGCACCAAAAAAATCAGTGGCTACATTAATAAATTGGTTTAAAGTGACAAACTACTGCCAGAGCAAGCCCCAGATCAAACACAAACAGTGAAAAAGAAAGGTGTTAAACATAAAGAACATAACCAAGGGTCAGCTGTAGTAAATATAAACATTTTAGTCTTTTAGTAATTTTTTAAATTTTCGGCAACATACAGGAGCGAATAATATTATAAAATGCATGATTCAGTGATTACGTGACTACTGTTAATATTCTGACTGATACAAGAAACATTTACTTACGCTGACGAAGACATAAGAACACAATAAAAATTATCTAATTCTGTGCTTGCAAAAAACAGAAAACCAAGGCAATAATGTTAAAAGTACTCAACAAACATTGGATAATAATAAAAATCATAGATAACTTACACTTCAATAATTACTACATACCTTGTTGGGATTCGTGAGATGGAGTGTCTCCAGCTTTATGCTTGTGCTTTTTGTTCTTGTGCTTCTTCTTCTGAGGCTGGTGACTCATCAGCCGATATTGCTCAGGTAGCTAAGACAGACAAAAGACTTTAAGCAGGCGAAGTCCCCCGAAATCTTCCTCAAATGTTGATCATACTTAAAGCTACCTCTAAAGAAGATCAATTTATGCTTTTCTCCGTCTACTTTTTTGTTTCTAAATGATACTGAGTACCGATATTACAACGTAGATTACAAACAGGTAGATAATACTGTGCTTTGGAAATATTTAACTGTAGCTTGTTTATCGTATCTCCCAAGTTCTCAATGAAAACGTTAAAGCAAGATCATTCAATCATTTCAAGTGATATTCAAGGATTTTCAGAAGGGGGGTGTTATAACCTTGTGTAACTGGGGATCAAGAGGCCACATTATTAAGAAGGGGTGTTATAACCTTGTGTAACGGGGGATCAAGAGGCCAGATGGGGGTATTATAATTGTGTGTAACTGGGCATAAAGAGGCCAGATTATTAAGAGAAAGAAGCTACAGAGACACCTGTACCTGATCAGGTACCTGATGATGACAAAACCTTGTCGAAACGTTGTACATTTGCTGTTATGTTAAACTTATATTAAAGTTTTTCTTCATTACCCGTTCAAGCCGTCTCCAGCCATTATTAGTCTCAAAGTGGGTTCCTTGTCACCGACTCTGTACTGTTTGTTGAAATAAGGATGTGCTAATATGAACAGTTTGGTAATTTTTTCCCTACTGGTAGATTTCTTTATCCATGGTTATAAGGAGTGTTAAGTGTCAAACAGTGTCACTTTAATGGAACATAATTTCTTCTGTGTAAGCCTAAAAAACATCTTTATAAGTTGTTATAGCAGTTAGATAATTGCAATGTCTGCCAAGAATATTTCAATTATGAATTTAATTATTTTAAAACAAATTTGTTGGTGCAAAAACATGCTGAAAGCCCTTCACATATGTATGGATTTTATATAAACATGTTTTGTTTAAAATTTTTGGGTATTATTTTGAAATATACTAATGTTTTAGTAACATGATAAAAGTGAAATATTGAATGGTATGACAGAGACTCAAGTCTTCATTCCATTACTAGTGTTAGCAGGGTCACCAGAAACTCTGATCAGCTCTAGGCCTAACAGAGTAGTGATTTCACATGAAATTCAAGCTTAATATCAAGTTAATAAAACAAGACTATAGTTTAATCAATACTATCATAAGGAGCAGTCTCCCTGAATGGCAACAATGTCTTTGGAGAAGTTTACAAGAAATGTATTTCTTGAAAAAAAATATTTATGAGTGTCATTTTTAATAGAACTCGTATTAAGTTACTATAAAAAGTTCTTATTAAACTCCAATAGATAAATAATTTCAACATACTGGTCCAGGATGAAGTCTGAAGCCAGTCAATTGTACTCCAGATAATGGCACCAATTCTTTTCCACATATTGGAGGTTTTTCAATCAATGATCGCAGTGAACTACAAAGGAATTTATTCTTGTAAAAGTGAAAGACATAATACTAATAGAATTAGGTCTGAAAACACGATGAAAGAAAAGCCGTACTGCCTCAAATAACATAAACTACTGTTTCATTAACCGACACATACTTTCAAGTTCAGTAACTTTTTTTTTTTTATCTACTATCACAACACAAGCTGCCAACAAATGATCTTTAATTTAACATTTACATAAAAAATATACAAACTACACAACAACAACAGGGTCTGTTGACAGAAGTAAAAGTAATTTACCAATTTATAAAATTAATGGAATAAATCTGGCTAATTAATGATTTAATGTGGAATATAACTACAAAACAAAAAAAAATACTTCAGTATTAGATGAGTCAAGAATATTTCCAATTCATGAAATTAAAATATAGAGCTAAAAACATTACTTCCAAAAACAGGTTACAAGAGACCACACCTGTTATCTTGATGTCCCGGTGTGTCAATGTTGCCAGGTAGACTAGGAAGGAAAGTGCTTAGTTGGTCTTTCATTTTACGGCCACAGAACTTGTTATAAGAATGTTCCAGGTTATGATAGGACATCAGATTCGTGGCTCCTGTCCGTTCACTCTGTGCTATAAGAAACAGTACGATAAATTAAACGTTTGGAGTTCAGAAGTCACCAGTGACTTATCAACAATGTTTTATGGAACAGACTGCTAACTGCTGTGGTTTTAGTACTCTGAAATGACCATTCTTAAACACAGTTCAAAGATGAGAAGTTCAACCATATAAAGTGAGCAACTGAAAAATGTGGACAAAAATTATTACTTTGCATTTACCCAGTAACCATTGGTGATATAACATTCCATCACGAACACGGATATCAATATTTTATATTTCATTATTTCTTAATTTTAGACAACGTTACATAATTTAATTTTTAATTACATCACATATTCCAGGGTCTCTAGCAATCGGGAAAAAACTCGAGGATGGAAAATATTTTTCCAGGTTAGGAAATGTTACAAGATGGCTTGTTTTATAAATTTATGTTCTGGTTATGTTAGTCTTTGGATATCAAATATATAAAACTTATGATATATATAATTTGTACAAATGTGAATTTTGAGTTCATGAGGAACTGTTCAAAAAATTAAACTGGGGATATATATTTTTTGACACCCATAAATGTATCTATACCTCACAGAATAATGAATCTCTTGAAATTTACCATAGGATAGTTTTACCTACTCTCCAATTTACTATACTCTCATAAGGCAACTTATGTGAATAATATACATATCAAATATTGCAACATTTATTACACCCTGAATTAGAGAATGTTTATTCAACAATTCCCGATTATGCTGAAAAACTACACTTAGTTATAAAATACTCATTCTATACTACTCTTACAAATTTTATATTGTGTTCCATTCAAATATCTCATGTATAATAACTCTTATTATCAATAGTAATATTACTATATAATTAATTTTTCAACAAATAAATTGTCATACTTTCTTCCACATTGTAAAATTCTAGTGTGGGTAGTTTGGATACATGTCTAATTTGTAAAAGTAGAACCTTACAAGTTACAGTCTACTTGTTAGTTTATTGTAATATGAAGTTATCTAGAACTTAGAAGAACATTGATTCCAAAGTCCCTGGTTAACATTTTACTACTCTATGAAAATTTGCAATATATTTTTTTTTTTAAGTTGCAAAATTTACTACTTGAATTGCATGTGTTTTTTGTGTAACTCATGGAACACAAAAATACATTTCATTGTGTTCTAATGCTATGTTTGTATTTATATCTATAGTATAAATCACAAGTAGAACCTTGCACTAAAAAACCATACCACAAAAACAGATGTTAAGAAAAGGCCGAATGGGTGATGGGATGCATTTAGAAATTGGAGTAAGAATGAATACTAAAAGTAAAAGCCAATCTACAGAAAGTCTTATTTGGGTGATTGTTCAACCAAAAAGATTAGGAGCTATTGTTCTAGATTATATTTACATACCAGTGTCCTATGCTCTCTAATTAAGGGTGTGATTTTTTATTATTTTAACTAAAGAAAAGCCTAAACAAGTGGGCTAACACACAGCAACATCGTCACTCCTGCTCAGTAAACTGACAACTCACTATTACTAGGCGGCTCCTTCATGAGGTAGAATGGGCCACTATGAACAATTGCTGGAGTTTTTCCAAGTGATATCGTAGTTTTTAAAGTTCCCGTTGAATCCTGGCGAGGAACAACTGGCGAACGAGCCCCTCTGGGGCTCGATTTTGGAGAATATTGCTCTGATCTTCGAACAATATCAGCCATTATCGTTACATTTGTCTATGATGTCTCGCCCTTGCATCTATCCTACATTCTCTACTGCGTGTCTAAACTCTTGTATTAGAGTAACACTGGTAGGTTCAACTTCTGAAACACCCTTACAGGAATAATAGGCCAAAAGGTGGCGTATTTATATACTTCACCTAAGGACCATTTGTAAAATTCTACAATGAGAGCTACATTATTAATTCGTTTACATTTTCGTATCATTATTCTTATAAATAGCATAAAATGTTTTTAAAGAAAATGTTTCAGTTATTTTTTATTTTGCTTTTATGCTCTGGTGTTTTTAGTGTAAGCGTGTTTGTGTGTGCTTTATTTGTAATCTCAATGAACTTTTAAGTTATAAATAATAATGGAAGTTTATATTTCGGCTTAAAACCGCAATTCTTCTATCTTCACATGCTTTTGAATCAGTGGTGTAGGAAGAAGTTTCAAAGTGCGGGTGCTTGCAGATCTTACTATAAGAGATTCAAAGTATAAGGAGCTGCTAAATCTAGGAGAATCTGGGGGGCATGCCCCCAGAAAATTAATATAATAATATAACTTAAAGTTATTATATAAGTGAAATATGTAAAAGTGGGGTGCTGTACCACTCCCGGTTTCAACGCCTCTGTGAATGATTTGGTTCTTACCCAAAATAAAGATTTCGATATATAATTGTAATATTTTTACTTCAGTAAAGAGATTTTGTATTTAACATGAATAACAAACAAATGCAGGTATAGTGTGACAAAATTTAACAGTACTTAGAAGAGATTAAAATCGCTTAACGCTATAAAGAAAAGTATTATATTGTTATGTCTCTGTTCGTTAGTTAATTTTCCGTAAAAATTATTTCCGAAGAAACTTTAGCGATACAAGTCCTTTCTTAAATAAAACTGGTTTGTTCTTTCTGAATACAACTTTGCAATACACTTAATTTCCACAGTCGCGCTATAACAAACGCTATAATTCACAACGAACGTCTCATGTGCTCGCTCAACAATACGTCTCTCTCTGTCCGCAGTTCAATTACCCATTGTTGCCGTCACGTCTTGACCGTCTTATATGTACAAGAATAGCGAAATCTAGTAAACGCTCGAGCATTCACGAACCTTCGAGAATATGACGTGTTACTAGGGTCACGTGACCTCCGCTATCGTAACAATATGGTCAACATTTCGCCCAAACGTCCCTCACTGAAAGTTAATCACATTACTCTTGTTTTTATCGATTTTAGCCATTTATATATTCTAACATTAAGTAATAATTAATGTTGCTATACGTACACAGCCTTTAATCTGAAAAGACAAAGTTAAATCCAACCGACATTATGAAAGTATTTACATGTTATTCACTTAAATGTTCATATTTAAAGCTTTAAGAAATACTAAAACATCATATTAAAATCAGTAAAAAATATAAATATCAATGATTTTTTCAAAATAGTTAGTTCACTTCAAGAATATTAAGCATATTATTCGTTATCAAATCGCTACTAGTAGATTAGTGGTAAAGTTGACAGCTAATGACGTTAAAATTCGGAGTTCAACCTCTACAAAAGCACAGCGCAGATAGCTCATTCTACAGCTTTGCACTTAGTTTGTCTATTTTTGTTTGTTTGTTGTTATATACGAAGCTACACGATGGGCTCTCTGTGCTCAGCCCATAGCAGGTATTTAAACTCTATTTTAAGTGTTATAATCTCTTAGACTTATCACTGAACCACAGGGGACGCAATATGGCCAAATTTATCAGTAAAGTTTACATCACGTTCCTATACCTTCGCTATCATATTTTTTTTACAAAAAAAGTGTGTTTTTCAATAGTATATCACTAATTAACAGCAAATTTGTTAATTAGTAGTAAGAATAATGAACACTAATGAAACTAAATTAATAGGCAGGTCCATGTTATTGACGTTAAATGTGTTTT